CACTGTCCTGGAATCCCGGGGCTACTTTAAAGGATTCCTTAAGATCAGAGGGTTGCCTAATGAGAGGTTGGGTCCTTGGTGTAAGTTCCACTCTAGGCTGATTGAGTGATGCTTAGGTTTTCTGTGAGTATGTAAAAAGAAAGTGTCATGTATGGTTTTATATGCAACCCCAGCCAAGTGAGAACACTGAGCATGTCAATCAACTTTACACTTCAAATATGCTTCCCTTCTGTATACTGAAAATTCTACTAACTCAATTTTAGATTAAGCAAAGAAAGAGGAAATAGCATGACTCAGCTTCATGCTACAATGGCTGGAGCAGATCCAGACCTAGCAATCCTTTGGGTTTTCCTTTTCCTTACCAAAATACAAAGTTGCACTTGGGTAATGTAAAGCATGCAGTGTTTGGGTAAGGAACGCAAAATAGTCAGTGTGCCTGCCCTGGTCCTTTAGTCAAGCAGGAGCTATTTACATTTATGGGAAATTCTCTGCTGCAGAATTAGGGAGAAAGCACAAAATACAGAAGGGCTCAGAATTTACCCACTGACAAACTGCCAAAGAGGAGCAACCTTCTGAAAATGTCACCTCCTTCCTAGCTATAGAATTTCAAGGAAGTTAATGGCAATAGTGATAGTAATAATAATAAATAACGCTTTGTCCTGCTATAGCGACTTCCATCTGAGGCTATCAAAGAACTGAATAGACGTGAATTCATTAAGCCTCACCTTATTTTACAGAAGTGGAAACTGAGGCATAGGGAGGTTAATGATTTGCCCAAGGTCACACTGTGAATCACTGGTGGAGCTGGAATAAGATTCAGGAATCCTTATTCCCATTGCCTTGTTCTAATAGCAAGACAAAACAGCTTCTCTATAAATCTTAAGTGTCTGAAAAACATTCCTGCTCCTCTAACCATTTTGTTTCACAGAAATAGGGAATATACATCTTGAAAGTAAACTCGGCACAGTAGGGAACTCTGATGTGCTTGTGTATCGACAGTATTAAAAACAGCATCCTCAAGTCCTTAACTCAGCTTCTAACAATGTCAACGCGAGTTACAAGTGCTCTGCCGCACTCAGGATTTGGCTCATAAAAAGGGATCTGATTCTGAGTAAGAATTGAGTAACAACTTCAGGAGTTGGCCTTTTAACTTGTTGGCAAAAAGTGAGCCTATTTGCCAGTATCTGATGATGAAGTAAGGTCTTTACAGATAAGGTCTTAACTTTTTATCTCACATTCAAGTTAATATCTACCTCTGTGCCTTTCAGACACTTGCCTCCACTGTGAAGATCACACATCCATCATTTTTTACATATGCTGTAATCAGGAGAGGTTATCAAGGCTCTTCTTTTTAAATTACCTGCACTTTATCTATTAAGGAAACCAAGGTATTTCTTGCAAAAAACAGTGCTCTGGGTTGTATATATTGGTGAGAATGCGTGACCAGTGTCAGGAAGCTTGCATCATATAGTAACCAATTGCACATTGCACTGGAGAAATCACCAGCCAGTTGGACCACCACTTCTATTTTTTTGAGCATCCTTTTTGTAAATTTCAAGAGACACTTGCTTCAATTACAGCATATTGTCTGTTCCTTTATACTTTGACAATTACAGTGACTTGACTTTTCCCCCCACAGTACTAACTGTTGCAATACAGCAACACTGCAAAACAGAATTACCCAAAAGCAGCTCAAGAGAAGGGAAGGGGAGCAGCTCTCCATTCACTCAAAAGGGAGACTCCCAATAAACACTTACCTCATCTGACCCAAAAAACTCTGTTGAACTAAAACAGAAAGTCAGACCTAAACCCTCAAAAGCCAGGGAATTCAGGCCTGTTGACTCTGGGGCCTTACCTCAAGAGAAAACAAAGAACCATAAGAATATAGGACTGGAAAGGATCTTGAGAGGTCATCTAGTCCAGCCCTGTATGCGGCAGCAGGACCAAGTAAACTTAGACCATACCTGACAGGTACTTGTCCAACCTCTTCTTAAAAACCTCCAGTGATAGGAATTCCAGAACCTCCCTTGGAAGTTGGTTCCAGAGTTTAACTACCCTTATTGTTAGAATGTTTTTCCTAATGTTTCTAACCTAAACCTCCCTTGCTGAAGACTGAGTCCCTTACTACTTATCCTATCTTCAGTGAACATGGAGAACACTTGATCTCCTTCCTCTTTATAACAGCCCTTAACGTATTTGAAGACTGTTATCAGGCTGACCCCCCCGTAATCTTCTTTTCTCAAAACTAAACATGTCCAGTTTTTAAAAGCTTTCCTCATAGATCAGGTTTTCTAAACCTTTTATCATTTTGTTGCTCTCCTCTGGACTCTGTCCAATTTGCCCACATCTTTCTTACAGTGTGGGGCCCAGAACTGGAAACAGTACTCCAGCAGAGGCCTCATCATTGTCGAGTACAGCAAGACAATTACCTCCCAAGTCTTGCACACAACACTCCTGTTAGTACACTCCAGAATGATATTAGCCTTTTTTGCAACTGCAACATATTGTGGACTCATATTCAATTTGTGATCCACTAGAATCCCCAGATCCTCCTCCCCATTTTGTAGTTGTGCATTAAGTGAAGTACTTTGCACTTATCTTTACTGAATTTCATCTTGTTGAATTCAGACCAATTCTCCAATGTTATTTTGAATTCTAATCGTGTCTTCCAAGGTACTTGCAATCCCTCCCATCTTGGTGTCATCTTCAAATTTTATAAGCAATACTCTCCACATAATTATCCAAGTTATTAATTAAAATATTGAGTAGTACCAGACCCAGGACTGACTCCTGTGGGACGCCCTTTCTAGATTCACCCTCCCAATTTGACAGTGACTTTCACTTTGACTATGGTCTTTCAAACCGTTGTGCACCCACCTTATAAGTTCATCTAGACTGCATTTCCCTAGTTTGCTTATGAGAGTATCATGTGGGACTGTGTCAAAAGCCTTACTAAAATCAAGATATATAATATCAACTGCTTTCCCTCTATACACAAGGCCAATAACCCTGTCAAAGAAGGAAATTAGGTTGGTGTGGCATGACTTGTGTTGGACAAATCCATACTGCCTATTCCTTATAACTCCATTATCCTCTACGTGGTTACAAATTGATTGTTTAATAATCTGTTGCATGTTAAGAACAAAGGTCAGTTTGGGGCCTGGATATTTAGTCTGGCTTTTCTAGCTTTTGTGGGTTTAAATCATGCCTTTAGTTAATTGTTTGTTTTTAATAAAAAATGTTCTTTTATTGTTTTTATTATGGTTCTTCAATACTAAAAACAACCACCTGTTCATTGTTTGCCTGTACATTTCTCCTCCATTTCTAGTATCAGCCATCAGCCTGTATTTGCATGGAGTTGTAATGAGTGACATAATGGGTCTCTACAATCACTGGGTTCTATGATTCACTAATTCAGCATGTTAAACTGCCTCTCCAGAAGAAAGTTTCTAAAGTAATCATAAACACAGGAAGGCTGACTTCATCATCTACCGTCATGTCCACATAGCATTGAAAAGAATAAGGCCATGTCTAAACTAGCATTTTTGTTGGCAAAACTCAGGGATGTGAAAAATACACCCCCCTGAGCAACATAAATTTTGCTGGCATAAGTGCTCGTGTGCACAGGGCTATGTTGGCAGGAGACGCTCTCCCACCAACATAGCTACTGCCACTCGTTGAGCTGGTTTTATTATGTTGACAGGAGTGCTCTCTCCAATTGGCATAACGTGGCTACAGGAGTGCTCTTACCGCAGCACAGCTGTGCCGCTGTAAGCTTGTAAGTATAGACACAGCCTAAGGATCTGGTGCAGACATTTAGTCCATAGCATCAGGGAATTATGTGATGTCTTGACTCTAATACCAAGTTCATTCTTGCATGTGTAGGTAGGACTATGCTATGTTATAAATGTTATGGGATATCGCTATAGCCCAGCCTCTACAGGGCTATAATTTGGTCTCAGATATGCAGACCAGATCAAACCACATTAGAACATGATTCCACAATCTGGGGCAAGGTGCACTTAACTGGTGTAAATCAGCATAAGCATAACTAAAATCAATGAAGCTACAGCAGTTTACACCAGCTGAGGATCTGGCCAATGGTACTGTCAGCACAGACATGCCTCTAATGCCCTGCCGACACTATGACTAAAATTGTGCTAACAACAATTCTGTTTAATCTCCGTTGTTGTTACCATGGTTCCCTTGACCAGCGTGGACAGGAGGAATTCTTTTAAAGAATTGTAGACACCATAAATATCCAGGTTTCAGAGTAACAGCCGTGTTAGTCTGTATTCGCAAAAAGAAAAGGAGTACTTGTGGCACCTTAGAGACTAACCAATTTATTTGAGCATGAGCTTTCGTGAGCTACAGCTCACTTCATCGGATATCCAAATATCCAGAGGCCCAGTCCCAGCATAACTCCAATTCATAGACAGGATCTTAACTAACATGCCCAAATCTTTAGCTTGATTATGGAGAATAGTTAAGGAACCATCTATACTATTCATTGTAACTACATTGTAACCAAATCAGGGAACAGCTGTATTTTAATGCTGTAACCAATCCCCTGATATAGTCATATTTGTGGCACAGACTTGCTCATAGATGACTTGGTGTGAGGGGTCATCTATAACAGTTTGGCTAGCACAGTACTCAGGGGAAAAATAATATAACTATGCTGCCCAGACCCACTGAGCTAGAACACAGCTAGCCTGGGAACTTGTCATATTTTCAGTTGCTTTGTGGGCAGACCTTAACTGAAATGATCTGAGCACCAAGATATATTGGAATTCATGTCAAAATGACCTAGATTTCCTTACACAGTACTAAAGAGTTATCCAATAAATGTTACACTACACTTCCATTTGACTGATAATGAAGTTCACAGCATGGGAAACTAGTAAACTTTTACTAGATTTCCAAGTCCAGGGTGCATTAGTTGATATTTCCTATTTACAGACAACAATGGGATTCTGCTATAATTAAAAAATAGTTACCTGTGGTCAATAACTGTTACATTGGAAGGAGGGATCCCCAAAACAGCACAACTCTGTACGAGTTCTTTCTTACGAATCTCCCCTTGATTGTAGTAATTTCCTGAAAATAACAAATGCAGTAACACTATCTACTTGACTTCAATTTAGCATGGAACATCTCTGTCCTCAAATCCTCAAAGCATCAAGCATATGTAGGTACCACATGTAAGGTCTGAAAAGACTTAGTACTAGGGTTCCCCACCTGAGGAAGAGGTACATTGTGGGGAGCAAATCCTATAGCTTATACTCAGGAAACACTCCCTTTGGCCCAGTGTAAAGTTTTAGGACCCAATACAGCCACACTCGTGCCTTGACTCCAAATGGAGTTGCACATTCATCTCTTAGAGCAGAGTTTGACTCTTTATAATTAATGAGCTCTCTTGGTTGGAACACAGGAATTTGCCATACCAAATCAGATCAATGGTCCATCTAGTCCAGTATCCTGTCTCTGACAGTGACCAGTATCAGATCCTTCAACAGAAGATGCAAGAAAGCCCATAATGGATAATTATGGAATAACCTACTCTAAGAGAATTTTTTTCCTCTCTCCTCCCCAATCTATTAATGGCTGGCTTATGTCCTGAAGCATGAGGGTTTATAGCTCTCTTATGTTTTTATCCTTTTTAGTGTTACAGTGAATGATCTTATTATCCATATAAATAAATGCCTAATCCCTTTCTTACTACTACTAAACTCCTGGCCTCAATGATCTTTTGTTGCAGTGAGTTCCACAGGCTAGTTATGCTTTGAGTAAAAAAGTATGTTATCTTTGTAAACTAATGAAATTCTAGCAAGTACATAAATGGATGTCTGTGTTCTCACATTACCTGTATGGAAATCACTGATATCTCATGATGTTAAAACTATTGGTCAAGATCTTTTTACAAATACAGGGGAAATCACCTTTCCAATGAGAGAGTGCCAAAAGCGCTTACTATTTGACAATAGCTAGGTGGCCTCCGTTAAATGAGATGGTACGTTGCAGTCCAGTTCTTGGCAGACAAGTATCTATAACACAACTGGTGATAATTGGACTCCTTAGGAGAGATCAAAAACTGAACTCCTCCCTCACTACTAGAGGTGGTAGGTCAGACTCTGTATTGGCATAAATCAGTGTAGCTGCACTGACTTCAACAGAACTATACTAATTACACTAGCTCAAGATTAGGTCCTCAGACTTCAGAACAGCAGAGTGTCAGTACTGTGTAAGAAACATTCCTACCTAATGCTTGTGATTTAACTAACAATTGAAGGACTTAAGTTTCCAGTGTGGTCATGAGCACCTTTCATGAGCACGAATATTCACCTAAAACTAGAATACTGCAATAATGAAGCACTGTCAAAATTAACGAGACACGTACGAGATTTCCTATCATTATAGTCTCTGTGTCAAGAAACTAATTCCTCAGAAGTCTGGACTGTTTCTAAAACAAATGTACTAAGTAACGTTCATGCAGGAGGTAATAGAGCAGAATTGAAAAGCATTTACGGAACCAAGAAAGGAATGTTAAAATATGTTAAAACCGCATTTAGAAAACAGCATTCTGGAAAACTTATAATAGCCACAGTGGGACCCAGGGTAGCATGGAACCAGGATTCATTAACTTAAGATACAGGCTGCTTCTTGATTTAATTATTTTCTTCTCATTCTGCCTTCATGTTATGTGGTCTGTTTGTTAGCATGAATCATGAAAAGTCCAGGTTAGAGCTCAGCTGGCCTCAGAAGGCGTGCTGCCCTGTGCAGCTTATAACTTCCAAGCAATACAATGAAAAAATACTGCAGAGTTTTAATGTGTGATTCCAGTTTGCAGTCAGCTATTCTGAACTACACGGAACTTTTTATTATTGTGAGGTGAGTCATCAGAATCTGGCATTCATCTGGTGAAGTGCTACAATCTGAGCTGCCAAAATCAGCTTCATATGATGCTCAGAGTGAAACATTAACCTCAGAAGAGACAACTTTTCTTATCACAATGAAATTTAGACTCTTACTGCAGCCCAGAAATGTGTATCTTCAGGAGGCTCTGATACTGATCATCCATGGAAGGGATGATTTACTGAGCTAAACATCAGGTTGGAACTCTTCAGCTTTCCTGGAGGAAGAGGCTCAGATCCCAGCAGAATCAACTCAAACCTACATCCTTCCTAGGCAGATTTAAATACATCTGTACAGTTTACTGGGTGAGAGTCTTTTAGAAGCAGAATCTCTGTCTCTTATTCTTGGGTCTTAATGATCCCAGGATACTACTGGAAGGAGTGAGGATTTTCCTCAGCCAAAATTTACTCTGCTATTATGCAATGTGCTGTGTGCTAGTGAGTTGCTGACCTCCACTGCAGAGAGAGCTATGCTTCAGTGACAATGTATGTATACAGGGCCAATTTCTGTCCTTGGATTACACACACACAACTTCCACTGAAGTTGTGGGGTGAGATTCATATATATCTGAGAACAGAATGTGATCCACCATTTGTGAAATACCTTAGGATGACAGGCACTACATAAATGCAAAATAGCATTATTGGGCAGCCATTGCTACTGAAAAGCATTGAGTGGCGAGTATTCCTGAACCTCATCCATGGAACTCTCTCAATAGGATGGCAGCTACTAAAGAGAGCTATTGGGGTGTTCGTGCCACCAGTTATTCACCCTGGACTGTGTGACCAATAACAATTTGCTCACAGTGCTCTAATTTCAATGCATTCTAGCGGCATTTTTGGTTGTGATCTGACAATTGCAAGTGTGATGGTTTCTAAATAGCCATTTTGCCTCCATTTTAAAATTTCACAGAAGAAAATAATGGGAACCTTAATACAGTATCTGATCAGCCTCGTCTATTGCACAAACAAATGAAGGACCAACCATTTGGATCACAGGATCCTACTATGAAATGAAAAAGATCTCTGAGTCCATCCCCTTGCAAGGGCAGTTCCCTTTCAAAAAACATGAGTGATTAATCTGAAGCAGCACAAAAGACACTTTTTGATATGTGCGAAATCTCTATAACAAGACTATTGCCAATGATTTTAAGGAAATTGATTACAAAAAAAGATTTACTTCTTTGGGAAAGGCGTGTGTAATAGCAGTATACCTGTATATAAGTAAGGCTGCAAGTCTGTCACGGAGGTCATGGATTCCGTGACTTCCTGTGATCTCCGTGACTTTTGCAGTGGCTGATGTTTGCTCAGAGGCTGCTCAATCCGGGCAGCCCCTGGGCCAGCAGCAGCAATTTGGGTGTGTGGGAGCGGGCTCAGGGCTAGGGGCTGGGGAATGTAGGGGGGGAGTTTACCTCGGGGTGGGGGGCTCCCTGGCTCCCACTTGCATGGCCTCCCCTGCAGCTCCTAGGTAGTGGAGGGACTCCGGGCGTTGCCCGCACGTGCAGGCCACGCCCCCACAGCTCCCATTGACTGTGGTTCCCCTGCCTCTGCTGCCTAGGAGTTGCAGGAATGCGGAGCTGGGTAGGAAGCCCTTGCCAGTCCCACCAACCCCCCCTTCCCTCAGCCACATTCCCCAGCACCCGCGGTGCTCCCGGACTGCCCTCCCCCCCAGAGCATCCACAGCCCCCTGCCCAAGTTTTAGTCAGGGCAGATATTTTTAGTAAAAGTCATGGACAGGTCACGGGCCCGTGTATTTTTGTTTATGGCCCGTGACCTGTCCATGACTTTTACTAAAAATGCCTGTGACTAAAACGTAGCCTTATATATAAGAAATGCTCTAGACTGAGCTGGCTTGGTGGCACTGTGCTAACCTCTCTGCACAGTTGTGAGAAAGCCAAATGGGGTCCAGTTCTGGTCTCTCATGATCCAAGCCAGCAAGCAACACACTGGAGGCTGCATATTCAGCTCTGGATGGGTGACAGACTTTGACTGATAAAAGAGTAACACCAATGGGCTCCAAATACTCCATCCAGGTCTTCTCACCTAGAGAGGTTTAATGACTTAAAGGCTTGAGAATTGGGAACAGAAGAGTTGAGCTACCTAGAGTCTTGAGACCTACAGAGGGACCCTTCTCCCATCAAAAAATGACTCAGATGTGCATTTGACACTATATAGTTTCTAATAAGGAAATTCATGACAAAAAGATTCTTGATCCTTAACTTACATTATAATCTCCTTGGGACAGGAACCCTATCTTTTATGTCTGTGCAGCGCCATTCACACTATAATGTTTTATAAACAATCATATGTTTGTGCGTCTACACAACTAAATGTCTTTCTTTTCATTTCTTTGCATTATTATCTAATTAATTTTAAAGTGTTTTGGGAGGTACAATTTGCATGGAACTCACTACATCAGATATAGTTTTATTATACTTCTTACCAGTAGTTCCTAACCACTGATATCTATCACAGTACTAGTACTTCAGGATTTGTGGAATGGTCCTCTGGATGTACCCACCCTCCCACACCTTAATCATTAGCCTCTCTACTGGTCCCCATGAGTTACCACTGCCCACTTTCCATTAAATGATACATGTTCTAGCCTGCTGTCAAGTGGGGATTGCATCAAACTAGGGTTAGTTAGAGTGCAGTGATTTCTTGAGCACTATGAACTGAATAGCATGGTGACGTTTTAATGCATGCAATACTGTGTTTTGTCACTCTGTGCTGATATTTTGGAAGCAGTGCTACAATGTATCATGATGGGACAATGACTTCATAATGGAGTGCACATCTACTACAAGGCCACACATAACATTGTGAAGTTGTAACATACAGCGTGGTGTCCTGAATTCCTGATGTGGTAAACTAGGGTTGTTGACGCTCCAGGATTGTCCTGTTGGCTCCAGGAACTGAAGATTAATCTTTAATTAAAGATTATATCATGTGATGAAAACTCCAGGAATACGTCCAAGCAAAACTGGCAACCTGGGGTATGACACAACTCAGTTACATTGTATCATTGTAAAGCGGGGTGATATCATGAGGATGTTGGCTACAACACAAAAGCCTGATTGGGTGATGTCACCATGGGATACAACACCGGGTAATGACGTCACGGCACGATGATGTCACAGCATGTGGTGTCACTGGGTGCAGTGTGTTGGCACTTCCCTCAGCCGGTCAACGTTGGCCAGACCCACCCTCCCCATTCCTCACCTGAAGAGCAGCACAGCAGCCAGAGCTGGGCCCGAAACCTGCCCAGGCTGAGGATTGTGGGAGCAAAGAACATGGCTTCGTCATCAGGGTGCGCCGTCACGACCAGGGCACGAACGTCATCGGCCCGCGCTGGTCCCGCCGCACACAGGGTTCGGTGTCCCCAACCCGCGCCGCGTCCTCGCAGCCAGCGCCAGCCCAGCCACAGAAGCGTAAGCAGCGCCGCCAGGATCGAACCCAGCGGCGCCAGCGCCATAGCGACCGAAACCGGAAGGGACCAGGTCGTTCCGGGCGGGAACAAGGACGAGCGGCAGAAAGGTTCCGCGCCTCGAAAGGGCTTTTCCCTGAGCAAGGCTCTCTTCTTTGGGTGAACCCAGAAGGGAGTGACAGGGATAACACGCAGGGGTCACTCTCCTCCTTCACTGCCCCAGAACTGGCCCACCAGATGCCCCCCCCCCCTTGGGGAGGGGAAAATGAGCCCCTTGCGGGAACTCCACCCAGAAAAGATTCATGCACAGAGAAAAGAGCTCCAGCCTCACCAATATCCCCCCACTACACAGGCTCCCACTGGGACATCAGAAAAGGCCACACCAAGGCCACAATGGGCCTCACATGCATGTGGCTATCACCCCACCCTTTAAAATCACCTCTACCAATGCATGTATTTTGCTTTGTTGGCAAGAAATGATTAACAATGCTTATAATAACTGGTATTGCTATAGTCCCAAGAATGTGCTAGATGACACACCAGAAAGTGTGGGCCCCTTACTGAATGAGGGAGGCAACCTAGTGACAGAGGATGTGGAAAAAGCTAATGTACTCAGTGCTTTTTTTGCCTCTGTTTTCACTAACAAGGTCAGCTCCCAGACTGCTGCACTGGGCATCACAAAATGGGGAAGAGATGGCCAGCCCTCTGTGGAGATAGAGGTGGTTAGGGACTATTTAGAAAAGCTGGACGTGCACAAGTCCATGGGGCCGGACAAGTTGCATCCGAGAGTGCTGAAGGAATTGGCGGCTGTGATTGCAGAGCCATTGGCCATTATCTTTGAAAACTCGTGGCGAACGGGGGAAGTCCCGGATGACTGGAAAAAGGCTAATGTAGTGCCAATCTTTAAAAAAAGGGAAGAAGGAGGATCCTGGAAACTACAAGCCAGTCAGCCTCACCTCAGTCCCTGGAAAAATCATGGAGCAGGTCCTCAAAGAATCAATCCTGAAGCACTTGCATGAGAGGAAAGTGATCAGGAACAGCCAGCATGGATTCACCAAGGGAAGGTCATGCCTGACTAATCTAATCGCCTTCTATGATGAGATTACTGGTTCTGTGGATGAAGGGAAAGCAGTGGATGTATTGTTTCTTGACTTTAGCAAAGCTTTTGACACGGTCTCCCACAGTATTCTTGTCAGCAAGTTAAGGAAGTATGGGCTGGATGAATGCACTATAAGGTGGGTAGAAAGCTGGCTAGATTGTCGGGCTCAACGGGTAGTGATCAATGGCTCCATGTCTAGTTGGCAGCCGGTATCAAGTGGAGTGCCCCAAGGGTCGGTCCTGGGGCCGGTTTTGTTCAATATCTTCATAAATGATCTGGAGGATGGTGTGGATTGCACTCTCAGCAAATTTGCGGATGATACTAAACTGGGAGGAGTGGTAGATACGCTGGAGGGGAGGGATAGGATACAGAAGGACCTAGACAAATTGGAGGATTGGGCCAAAAGAAATCTGATGAGGTTCAATAAGGATAAGTGCAGGGTCCTGCACTTAGGACGGAAGAATCCAATGCACAGCTACAGACTAGGGACCGAATGGCTAGGCAGCAGTTCTGCGGAAAAGGACCTAGGGGTGACAGTGGACGAGAAGCTGGATATGAGTCAGCAGTGTGCCCCCTTGTTGCCAAGAAGGCCAATGGCATTTTGGGATGTATAAGTAGGGGCATAGCGAGCAGATCGAGGGACGTGATCGTTCCCCTCTATTCGACATTGGTGAGGCCTCATCTGGAGTACTGTGTCCAGTTTTGGGCCCCACACTACAAGAAGGATGTGGGTAAATTGGAGAGAGTCCAGCGAAGGGCAACAACAATGATTAGGGGTCTGGAACACATGACTTATGAGGAGAGGCTGAGGGAGCTGGGATTGTTTAGCCTGCAGAAGAGAAGAATGAGGGGGGATTTGATAGCTGCTTTCAACTACCTGAAAGGGGGTTCCAAAGAGGATGGCTCTAGACTGTTCTCAATGGTAGCAGATGACAGAACGAGGAGTAATGGTCTCAAGTTGCAGTGGGGGAGGTTTAGATTGGATATTAGGAAAAACTTTTTCACTAAGAGGGTGGTGAAACACTGGAATGCGTTACCTAGGGAGGTGGTAGAATCTCCTTCCTTAGAGGTTTTTAAGGTCAGGCTTGACAAAGCCCTGGCTGGGATGATTTAACTGGGAATTGGTCCTGCTTCAAGCAGGGGGTTGGACTAGATGACCTTCTGGGGTCCCTTCCAACCCTGATATTCTATGATTCTATGACTCATAGGAAGTACAGTCCCGCTCCAAAGAGCTTACACACCAAGTTCTTCCCTCCTGCTTTGGAGGCTCAGATGAGATCCTGCAGTCAGGGCCAAGTCGATGGACCCTTGAACTGTACTGAAATCTAAGATCTACTCATGCAGATCTAGTTGCAGGATTATGACCTTACATTGTAAACTTTTTGATGCAAGGACTGTCTTTATTATTTGTGTCTTGGACAGCACCAAATACATGAAGTTGACACTTAAATAATAGTAAATATAATATATAATAAATGTAGGATTTGAGGTCATATAATTTGTTTATCCCATTGCTGCCTTCTAATGTAGATTACAGAAACCCTGTGAGTTGGTTGTAATCTTCTAAATCATATAGAGCTGAAGGAGCAGAAAGGTAAGAGGAGCGTACGCCTTCAGAGATTCTACATGTGTTCAGACCTCTGTGATGCACAACTATTTTAACTGTGACAACATGAAATAGAAGGCATTTGGGTGCTGATTAGAGGTTGAAGTTACCATGAGAAGGAGATGGAGGGAATAGAGAAACAGGAAAAAAGATATAAATTATCATTAGAAAAGTAATAAAATATATTACTAATGTTTTTCCTGGGGATGTGCAAGGTAGAAGAGTAGTCAGCAAGGGTAAGGTCTGAACCACTTGGACATAGGGTTGTAGAGCAGGATAAGGACCACAGTTGGGGGAAAACCAACGTTAAAAAAGCCAAAAACTAAAAATAGATGTACATTTGACATCTTACCAGTAACTCATCTTGTTTTTACTGTTTTATCTTGTCTATTTAGGACCTGAAGCTGTAAAGATTTGTGCATATGCTTAACTCTACACACTGTGAGTAAACCTATTGAAATCAATAGAACCACTCACAGTCCAGAAAATTAACCATGTAAGTGTTTGCAGGTATGGTATTATATTTTGTAAATTCTTTAGGTCAGGGACTGTCTGATCTCAAACTTGGTACAGCACTTTAACACAATGGGGTCCCAATACTGCAATATAAATACTTTAAAATATAATAAAAATAATAATAAAAATAATAAAGTACACCCAGCTGTTACAGTGTCAACCACAAAATAAATACCTGCAGTAATTATATGGCCCCTCACCCCCCACAAACATTGAAACAGGGCCCTTCACACTCAGTGCTGCTTATGTGAGCATGGAAACAGAGACTCTCACTCCTTTTTTTCCTGTGAAGAATGCCTGAGAATTGGGACCTCTCTGTGGTGTTATCACAATTAAAATAGCATGCTAAAAAAATTATCAGATAATTTATTTGCAGTGGGCAATTTGAAAAAGGAGTATTTAAAAAGAAAAACTGACATTTTAATTGCCTCACTAAAACATTAAAAAAAAACCCTTCCTCACTAGAGGGAGAGGCTTGAGAAAAATAGCACAAAATTCATTACAAAATGTGAGTCTTCCTGAAACTGAGACTTGGCAGGACTATTTCTGGGTTTTTTTCCCCTTTCTTCCCTTGCCCCTCAACCTATACAGCATGTATGAAACATTCACACGGTGTAAAATATATTGAAGACTTGCCAAGTCTCATTCCGTTTCAGAGCGTGACTCCCTTAATGTAGGATTCATTTTTAAGGTAGTTCTAAAAATGATATTTCACTTGTGTTGAAGGATTTTGCTGTGCTCCTTTCATTGGAATAATTAATTTCTCACTCATTCAAATTTTCACATCTTAACAGCCTTGCAGATGGATTTTTAAAAACATCTTGTTTGCATTGATAACATGTAAAGCTCTTTTCTCGCCTTTGCTGTATTCACTCTTATTTTAATCACACTGGCATTGTGCATGTATGGTATTTGGATTTGGTACGTGGATTTGCCTTCTCTGTTTATACCCCCCAGCCCCAACCTATACAGCATTGACAAACATTTCACCTATTATAAAACATATTAATTTGACCTTATTTGGAGTGTGTGTGGAAAGACAGTTTTTCTGGCTATGATCCCCTTAGCTGAATAAAATATCGCCATAAAAATAAAAGGATCATCTGTCTATTGCAGGCTCTGCTCCTGCACGCCCGGCCCTGGCAAACAGAACTACCGCTCACCCGCTAATATTTAATGCACAGGTCGCATCATCAGGCGCTAGAATTGCTAATTTTGAGATGACAACACTCGGTCTGGTCGCGTTAGCGCAACACAAGTCCTGTGAAAGGCCACAGATGACTACAACCCCCCTCCTCCCCCGCAAGTGTCACACTGGAACCCTCTCCCCCGCCGCTTAGTGTCCCCACCCACTCTCAATGGCTGGCACCTGCCCCATGTCCTTTCTCTCCTTCCCACGGTGAGTTCCCCATGATGTCCTTGCCCCCACCCTCTGGCCATGTCTCAGCTCCCCCAGAGTCAGTGCCCGCCCTTGGCCTCTCCCCACTAAACAGCGAAGGCGGCCTCCCTCGCTCCGCGAGGCTCCCCTATGGCCATGCCGCGGGCACCCCGCTCCTTCCCCCCCATGAGGGGGGGGAGTCCTTTTACCAATGCACAGACCGACGGGTCCTGGCAGTGGTATAGTGACACCCCCTCCTTCCGCTGCCCAGGAACGGGTCGACCCGGTCCGGTGTTACTGGGGCTCCCAGGAAGACTGGGAAAAGGCCGAGTGTTCGTGATCTGACCCTGACAGCGGGCAGAAAACGAGAAACGGGCCCCTGGCTGTGCGGGTTTGTTATGTAGCTGTTAGGACCCGGCCACAGGGGGAGGAGCCGCCCGAGCCGGGGGGAGGGGAAACAAGATGGCGGCGACGGAGGAGCTGAGGCTGAGGTGAGAGACTCCGCGAGTCTC